GTCTCAAAAAAAAAAAAGGAAAAGAAAAAAACAATTCTCAACAGAAAGGTTAGAAATGGAAATATCAGCCAGGTGCAGTGGCTCACACCTGTAACTCCAACACTTTGGGAGGCTGAGGTGGCAGATCACCTGAGGTTGCGAGTTCGAGACCAGTCTGACCAATATGGAGAAACCCTATCTCTACTAAAAATACAAAATTAGCTGGGTGTGGTGGTGCATGCCTATAATCCCAGTAGGTTGGGAGTCTAAGGCAGGAGAATCACTTGAACCAAGAGGTAGAGGCTGCTGTGAGCCAAACTTGCGCCACTGCACTGCAGTCTGGGTGACACAACAAAACTCAGTCTTGAACAACAACAACAAAAATTAGCTAGGCATGGTGGTGGGCACCTGTAGTCCCAGTTACTTGGGAGGCTGAAACAGGAGAATCACTTGAAACAGGGAGGCGGAGGTTGCAGTGAGCTGAGATCACGCCATTGCACTCCAGCCCAGGCAACAAGAACAAAACTCTGTCTCAAAAAAAAAAAACAAAAAACAACGATAATCACAAAACAAAAACAAAAACAAAAGCAAGAAATGGAAATATCGAGGCATGCATGGTGGAGTGTATCTGCAGTCCCAGCTCCTGGAGGTGAGGGAGAGGCTGAGGCAGGAGGACCACCTGAGCACTGAGCTCATTGCAACCTGCCCACATCCACCTCCTGAGTGGCTGGGACAAATGTATACAAATCCACATAGAAAAAGGTGAAATTAGCTCCTACTTCACACATATACATAAACTCCAGTTGTGTTCTAAATGGGACTAGAAAAACAAGCTTGTAGAAAATCATACGGAAGAGTATTTTCGTGGTCTCAAAGAAGGAAGATATTTAAGACACTTAAAAGTACTAATTATAAAGAAAAGGTTGCTTTATTTACATTACAATCTTGGGGCTGGGTGCAATGGCTTATGCCTGTAATCCCCGTATTTTGGGAGACCAAAGCAGAAAGATCCTTTGAGCCCAAAAGTTCAAGATCATCCTGGGCAACATACCAAGACCCTGTGTCTACAAAACTAGAAAAAATTAGCCAGGCCAGGCTCAGTGGCTCACACCTGTAATCCCAGCAATTGGGAGGCTGAGGTGGGTGGATTACGAAGTCAAGAGTTCAAGATCAGCTTGGCTAATATGGTGAAATCCTGTCTCTACTAAAAATACAAAAATTTTCTTCATTCTTTATTCTGAGGACTGTGTTAAAAAAAAAAAATTAGCCGGCCACGGTGGTGCGCACCTGTAGTACTAGTTATCGGGAGGCTGAGGCAGGAGAATCACTTGAACCTGGGAGGCAGAAGTTGTGATGAGCCAAGATCCTGCCACTGCACTCCAGCCTGGAGCCAGAGCAAGACTACGTCTCAAAAAAAAAAAAAACCAGCCAGGTGTGGTGGTGCACACCTGTGGTCCTGTGGTCCCAGCTACTTGGGAGGCTGAGGTGGGAGAATGTCTTGAGCACTGGAGGTCAAGGCTGCAGTGAGCCGTGATTACACCACTGCATTCCAGCCTGGCAACAGACTGACACCCCCTCAAAAGAAAGCAAAACAACTAACAACTTCTGGTATTCAGCACACCCTACAGAGAGTGCAAAGACAAGCCACAGATGAGAGAAGGTATGAATAGCATGCAAGAGAAAGGACTTATGTCCAGAACACAGAGAATTCCCGTTAAGTCACAATAAAAAGACCTTAACCAAATAGACAAATGGGCAAAAGACTGCAACAGGCACTTCCTAAAACAAGAAACCCAAAAGACTGATAAACACGGACTAGGTGCCCAATCTCATCAGTAATCACGTTAGTCATTAAATCACGGCCACACTGAGGTATCTTTACACATGTCTAACACTACCTGGTGCTGATGAGGATTCAGGGCAATGAAAACTCTTGTTTCTGGTGGGAATATAAACTGGTACAACTACAATTTCAGCAAGTAGGTTAGCATCAGCTAGTACAGGTCGAAACATACATAGCCTAAGACCCAGCCACAGCCCTTCCAAGGATATACCCTAGGAAAACTCAAGTACATGTCGACCTGGATTCTGAACAAGAATGTTCACAGAGGCATTGCTCCTATTAGTCCTAGCTGGGAACCACCTCAATGTCTATCTACAGGAGAACCAGAAAAATAAATCCCACTGTAGCCCTGTGATGACGATGCAGCAGAACACAGCACAGGGAGCAGTGAAGAGGAATGAGTAGCTCGGAGGGCAATACGCATGCATTTTGCAAACACAGTGTTGAGCAAGAGAAACAAGACACACGAAAACAGACACCTCATCATGCTGTTTACATAATGATAAAAATCTCACAGCCTGGTGCGGCAGCACATGCCTGTAAGGCCAGCTATTTGGGAGGCTGAGGCAAGACTGCTTGAGCCCAAAAGTTCTAATCCTGTCTGTGCAACAAGGCACCCCCATCTCTAAAAAACAAAAAAGGGTGGGCACAGTGGCTCATGCCTGTAATCCCATCACTTTGGGAGGCCGAGGTGGGAAGATCATTTGATCCCAGGAGTTTGAAACCTATCAGCTTAGGCTGATACAGCAAGCTCCAATATTTATCAAAAAAAGAAAAAGGAAAAAAAATTAGCCAGGCATGATGGCACGTGCCTGTGGTCACAGCTACTCAGAAGGCTGAGGTGGGAGGATTGCTTGAGCCTGGGAGGTCAAGATTCCAGTGAGCTGAGATCATACTACTGCACTCCAGCCTGGGTGACAGAGTGCGATTTTGTCTCTGGAAAAAAATCTCAAAAACAAAGCAGGAGAGTGATCATCTCTAGAGGGGCAGGAGGAAGACAATGGGAAGAGCTGCAGACAGGTCTGCTGGGGTCTTGGCAAAGCTCTATGTTTTGCACTAAGTGGTCTGACAATTCATACTCTATACATTTATGTTTTATATACTTCTCTGTTTTATATTTGAAATTTTAAAAAACAATTCGAAAAAAAAGCTAGAAACAATCTGGGTACTTATCACCCAGAACACTGGTAGATAAAGGTACTCACTTTTAAGAATATATAAGAAATAGAATAAGAAAATACAATGCATGAGTCAAAAGTAATAATTCTATTTATATTTACAGATACATGGAGGGTTCTCAAAACCAATGTTGGGCCAGGCGAGGTGGCTCACACCTGTCATCCCAGCACTTTGCGGGGCTGAGGCAGCGGGATCACTTGAGGTCAGGATTTCGAGATCAATCTGGCCAACATGGTGAAACCCTGTCTCCACTAAAAATATAAAAATTAGCCAGGCATGATGGTAGGTTCCTGTAATCCCAGCTCTACTCAGGAGGCTAAGGCAGGAGAATTGCTTGAACCCAGGAGGCAGAGGTCGCAGTGAGCTGAGATTGTGACACTGCACTCCAGCCTAGGCGACAGAGTGACAGCCTGTCTCAAAAAAAGAAAAAGAAAAAAAAAACCCAAAAAAAAAAACCAAGGTTGAATCAAACAGAATAGAAAGGGGGTCTGGCACAATGCTGTACATGTGTAAGTTTTGTTTAAAAACAAAAATACGCACCGGGCGCGGTGGCTCACGCCTGTAATCCCAGCACTTTGGGAGGCCGAGGCGGGTGGATCACGAGGTCAAGAGATTGAGACCATCCTGGTCAACATGGTGAAACCCCACCTCTACTAAAAATACAAAAAATTAGCTGGGCATGGTGGCGTGTGCCTGTAATCCCAGCTACTCAGGAGGCTGGGGCAGGAGAATTGCCTGAACCCAGGAAGCGGAGGTTGCGGTGAGCCGAGATTGCGCCATTGCACTCCAGCCTGGGTAACAAGAGCGAAACTCCGTCTCAGAAGAAAAAAAAATAAAATAAAAACAAAAATTCACATATGAAACGATGCTATGTATTTTTAAAGAATATGCAGGTATAGGCTGGGTACAGTGGCTCATGACTGTAATCTCAGCACTTTGGGAGGCCAAGGCGGGTGGATCATGAGGTCAGGAGTTCAAGACCAACCTGACCACAGTGGTGAAACCCTGTCTCTATAAAAAATACAAAAATTAGCCCAGCGTGGTGGTATGTGCCTGTAATCCTAGCTACTTAGGAGGCTGAGGCAGGAGAATTGCTTGAACCCTGGAGGCTGAGGTTGCAGTGAGCTGAGATTGCACCACTGCATTCCAGCCTGGGTGACAAGAGTGAGACTCCATCTCAAAAAAAAAAAAAAAAAAAAAAAAATGCAGGTACCCAAATACAAAGGCCTACATCAGAATCAGACAGAAAGAGATACATACATATGGTACACACACTACAGTGAGGGGGCTAATTGCACAAGAGCAGATATTAGCAAACTTTTTCTTAAAGGGCCAGATCATAAATATTTTAGGTTTCATGGGCCTTATGACACTCAATCTGCCATTATAATTCAAAAGCAGCACAAACAATAAGAAAATCAGTGGGTATAGCTATGAGTCATGTTCTTTTTTTCTGAGATGGAGTCTTACACTGTTGCCCAGGCTGGGGTGCAGTGGCACAATCTCGGCTCACTGCAACCTCTGCCTCCCAGGTTCAAATGATTCCTCCTGCCTCAGCCTCCCAAGTAGCTGGACGCACCACCATGCCCAGCTAATTTTTTTGTATTTTTAATAGAGACAGGGTTTCACTATTTTGGCCAGGCTGCTCTTGAACTCCTGACCTCAAGTGATCTGCCCACCTCGGCCTCCCAAAGTGCTGAGATCGCAGGCATGAGCCATTGCACCTGACCAGTTATATTCTAACAGAACTACAGTGACAAACACAAGGAATACGCCAGGGCTGTAGTTTGTCAAGCCCTCGAAAAGAGGCTTGGGTTAAGGGAAAGGAATAAAGAAGGAAAATAATAAAGAGAGGCCTTGCATGGACCAGTAACAGGAGGGCCTTGCAGTATTTTCCGCTCAATTCTAGGGAAATAAATTCCTTTAATGAAGAGGCAATCAAATAAAGAAATAAAGAAAACGGTACCTTTTTGAGGTTGTAATTTTCTTCCACACTCACCTCCTTGCTGTCTGTCACAGGAACCCACTTAAATATCCTCAGGGAAGTGTCACCCACAGTCACCCACTTTTTCTCCCTAAAAGAAAGACACAATAAAGCAACGATTTTCTGTTTATCATTTGTGCTCTTCTACTTCTCAGCAGATCATTCCTTCAATCTGGAACCCTTCTGAACTTCCTCTTGGTGGGGTGTGGTAGCTCATGCCTGTAATCCCAGCACTTTGGGAGGCTGAGGCAGGAGGATCACTCAAGCTTAGGAGTTTGAAAACAGCCTGGGCAATTTAGCAAGACCTCATCTCTAAAAAAAATACAGGCCAGGTGCAGTGGCAACACCTGTAATCCCAGCACTTTGGGGGACCCAAGCAGGTGGATCGCTTGAGTCCAGGAGTTTGAGACCAGCCTGGCCAACATGGTGACAAGTAGTTGGGCGTGGTGATGTGTGCCTGTAATCCCAGCTACTCAGGAGGCTAAAGTGGGAGGATTCCTTGAGCCCAGGAGGCAGAGGTTGCAGTGAACTGAGATCGTGCCACTGCACTCCAGTCTGGGCAACAGAGTGTCTGTCTCAAAAAATAAAAAGATGTGGGACATAGGCTGGAAGGCAGCACACACACACACACACACACACACAGCACCATATTCCTTTTTACTTGCACGTGAGTTACTCTGTGTGCTTTTCTCTTTAGCAAATGTACGAGTTCAATTACATTACTATTTCTGTTTGTTTTTTTGAGATAGGATCTCATTCTGCCTCCCTGGCTGGACTGCAGTGGCACAATCATAATTCACTGCAGCCTCAACCTCCTGGGCTCAAGTAATCCTTCCACCTCAGCCTCTTGAGTAGCTGAGACTAGAGGTGCACATCACCACACCCAGCCAATGTTTTATTTTTTGTAGAGATGGAGGTCTCTCTTTGTTGCCCATGCTGGTCTTGAACTCTTGGCCTCAAGCAATCTACCCACCTTGGCCTCCCAAAATGCTTGGATTACAGGCATCAGTCACCACATCAGGCGACCTGCCTCCGTTTAAGGGTCCCTCCAAGGGAAAAACAATCCCAGGAGAGACAGACACCTGCTGCTGGGGGTAAGGTGTGGTGGGTGTGAAATGTTAGGACCCGTTCCCTTTCTGGGTTACTAAGACTGCATAAAGAAAGAGAAAATTAGTCTTAAGAAGTTTTTCAATTTCAATTTTGAAGTTCAAAGCTTTGTATAAATCCTTTTGTCTCTTGCTGTGTTCCAAAGGGGTAAAAATGGCAGAGTTTATCAGTCTGCTACACTCACAAAATAAGCAAAGGGATAAAAGATGTCCAAGTCTTGCCCAAGGTCACTCTCTAAATCACTAAGGCCCCCCAATTGTCTGCAGCAGATTCGAATGCCACTGTCCTCAGCTTGCCCACAGAGTGCCTTCAACGTGCTTCCAGGTCTGCACACGTGTGGGGGACAGAGAACAAAGGAGACTCTAGTTTTCTTTTCTTTTTATGTTTCTTAAATACGGGGTTTCACCATATTGGTCAGGCTGGTCTCGAACTTCTGACCTCGAGTGATCCGCCCGCCTCAGCCTCCCAAAGTGCTGGGATTACAGGTGTGAGCCACTGTGCCCGGCTTCTTCTTCTTCTTCTTTTTTTTTTTTTTTGAGATGGAGTTTCACTCTTTTTTCCCAGGCTGGAGTGCAATGGCGCGATCTCGGCTCACCACTACCTCCGCTTCCTGGGTTCAGGCAATTTTCCTGCCTCAGCCTCCCAAGTAGCTGGGATTATAGGCATGCACCACCATGCCCGGCTAATTTTGTATTTTTAGTAGAGATGGGGTTTCTTCATGTTGGCCAGGCTGGTCTCGAACTCCTGACCTCAGGTGATCCACCCAACCCGGCCTCCCAAAGTGCTGAGATTACAGATGTGAGCCACCGCCTGTTTTTTTTTTTTCTTTTTGAGATAAGGTCTCACTCTGTCATTCAGGCTGGAGCGCAGTGGTGTTATCACAGCTCACTATGGCCTCAAAATCCCAGGCTCAGGTGAATCTCCCATCTCAGCGTCCCAAGTAGCTGGGACTACAGGCATGTGCCACCATGCCTAGCTAATTTTTTGTATTTTTATTAAGGAAAGAGTTTCCCCATGCTGCCCAGGTTGGTCTTGCCTGGGCTCAAGTGATTCTCTTCCTAGGCCTCCCAAAGCGCTGGGATTACAGATGTGAGGCACCGCGCCCCGCCTCTCCTTCATTCCAAGAAGGCTATTTCCTAAGCATGCCAGGCGGAAAACAAATGTGCTTATTTGAAGGGCCACTGATGCCGTAAGAGGTGCTTGCTGTCAGTGGGAGCAAGGGCCAAATGCAGGGAGCTGCTTTATCCCAGATCTGAACAAGCTTCTCAGAGTCAATTCCAAATGTGAAGTCACAAAAAAGCCAAAAAAAAAGGAACTGTTGTTGCAGTTGTGCATGCTGTTCAGCAAATGATGCCATACAGGGGCCGGGCACAGCGGCTGGAGCCCACGATCCACGCACTTCGGGAGGCTGAGCTGGACGGGTCACTTGAGCCCAGGAGACCGAGACCAGACTGGGCAACACAGTGAAACCCTGTCCTCACTAAAAATACAAAGATTAGCCAGGTGTGGCGGCACATGCCTGTAGTCCCATCTACTTAGGAGGCAGAGGCAGAAGGAGGCTGAGGCTGCGGTGAGTCAGGATCGAGCCACTGTACTCCAGCCTGGGCCACAGACCAAGACTGGGTCTCAAAGAAACAACAAAAAAGGACATACTGGGAGTGTAAAGCGACTGTGATGTAACAGAAAGAATGAATTAAAGTCTTAGAAAATAACTAGGATTAATTCCTGAACGGACCACTCCATCTTCTCACTTAATCAAGCAGTTGGTACACGAGAGGCTGTGCGAGGCCCTGGCAATGCAGGGGACAAGCAGTTCCACCGTCACTGCCCTCACAGATCCTGTTATATATCTGGAAACAGACATGAATAGCTCACTTCAATATAGTCAAGCATTAGGTTTAACCATATCGAATTGCGATTTTTGTACGTTAATTAGTCAAATACAGGAGGCCAGGGGCAATAGCTCACAGTTGACACCCCAGCACTTTGGGAGGCTGAGACGGGAGGACCGCTTGAAGTCAGGAGCTCAAGACCAGCCTGGCCAACATGGTGAAATCCGGTATCTACAAAAATACAGAAATTAGCTGGGTGTGGTGGTGTACACTTGTAACCTCAGCTACTCAGGAAGTTGAGGGCGGGAGAATTGCTTGAGCCCAGAAGTGGAGGTTGCAATGAGCGGAGATCACAGCTCTGCACTCCAGCCTGGGTGACAGAGCAAGACTCAGTCTCAAAAAAAAAAAAAGTCAAATATAGGAAATCGCGTATGGATCCACCTAATACAACTGTGGAAAGTTCTATGAAGGGGACTTCATCAGACTGGGAATGTCAAGTGGTCAACCTAATGAAGCAACTTTTGAGCTGAGCTAGGAGTTAACTCGGCAAGGGGGAGGGGAGGAGAGAGGAAGAATGCCAGGCAGGAGGAAGAACAGAGTGACTTCACTGCAAAGAAAGTGGGCATCCTGGGAAAGAGCCAGACAGGTGACGCAGGAAGGAGGGCCTTTTTCAGTATTCATCCTAAAAGCAAGAAGGGACCACTGAAATCTTTCTAGGGGTACTACAATAAGATGTATATTATATATACATACATATATATATATGTGTGTGTGTGTGTGTGCGTGTGCGTGTGCGTGTGTGTGTATATATATATATTTTTTTTTTGAGACAGAGTCTTGCTCGTCGCCCAGACTGGAGTGCAGTGGCTTGATCTTGGCTCACTGTGACCTCTGCCTCCCAGGTTGAAACAATTCTCCTGTCTCAGCCTCCTAAGCAGCTGGGATTACAGGTGCATGCCACCATGCCCGGCTAATTTTTTTGTATTTTAGTAGAGACGGGGTTTCACTATGTTGGTCAGGATGGTTTCGATCTCCTGACCTCATGATCCCCCTCCCTCAGCCTCCCAAAGTACAAGGATTACAGGCATGAGCCACCGCACCTGGCCTGTATTTTTTACAGATGGAGTCTCACTCTGTCGCCCAGGCTGGAGTGCTGTGGCATGATCGCAGCTCACTGCAGCCTCAACTCCTGGCCTCTAGCGATCCTACCACCACAGCCTCCTAAATAAGGCTGTGCATTTAAAAAAGATCACTCTGCTACTTGGAAGAGAGAGTAATAAAATGACTCAGTACAAATTAATGAATTGGGAAATGAGCAAGAGCAGAAGCAGAGAGGTTACAGGGAGGCTGGCAGAGAGTTCCAGGCGACAGAGGATGGCCCTTCAGCCTAGCCTGCTAGGAGCGAGGGGTCAAAGATGGGGAGAAGAAAAGGGTGTGTCTGTTCTTAGGTCTCACCAAAACTTCGGAGGATTAAAGGTGGAGAAGAAAAACCATGAATAATTTAAACTAATATTTATACTGAAACCCATAATATATGAAACCCTCACACATAAAAAGAGAAGGAACTTCCCTTTTGTGGGGACGTGGACAGAGAAACACACGAATAAAGTCCAGGGTACCAATGACTTTTTTTTTTTGAGACGGAGTTTTTTTGTTTTTTTTTTTTTTTTTGAGACAGAGTTTCGCTGTTGTTACCCAGACTGGAGTGCAATGGCACGATCTCCGCTTACTGCAACCTCTGCCTTCTGGGTTCAAGCAATTCTCCTGCCTCAGCCTCCCGAGTAGCTGGGACTATAGGCACGTACCACCATGCCCAGCTAATTTTTGTATTTTTAGTAGAGACGGGGTTTCACGTTGTTGACCAGGATGGTCTCGATCTCTTGACCTCGTGATCCACCCACCTTGGCCTCCCAAAGTGCTGGGATTATAGGCGTGAGCCACCGCACCCGGCCGGAGTTTCACTCTTATTGCCCAGGCTGGAGTGCACTGGCGTGATCTCGGCTCACTGCAACCTCTGCTTCCCAGGTTCAAGTGATTCTCCTGCCTCAGGCTCCCGAGTAGCTGGGATTTCAGGCATGTGCCACCATGCCTGGCTAATTTTCTATTTTTAGTAGAGATGAGGTTTCTCCATGTTGGCCAGGCTGGTCTTGAACTCTGACCTCAGGTGATCTGCCCACCTCAGCCTCCCAAAGTGCTGGGATCACAGGTGTGAGCCACTGTGCCCAGTCCAAATGACCTTAAAGGGGATGAATGGTGAGGGGTGGGAGGGGTTAAAAAAGGCTTCCTGGTAGGAGGCAACATCTACTTGAACTTTTATTTTTTGTAGAGACGGGGGTCTCACTCTGTTGCCTAGGCTGGTCTCGAACTCCTGGCCTCAGGCAATCCACCCACCTCAGCCTCCCGGAGTGCTGGGATTACATGCTTCCCTCTTGCTACCCAGGCTGGAGTGCAATGGCGCGATCTTGGCTCACCTCAACCTCCGCCTCCTGGGTTCAGGCAATTCTCCTGCCTCAGCCTCCTGAGTAGCTGGGATTACAGGCACGCGCCACCATGCCCAGCTAATTTTTGTATTTTTAGTAGAGACGGGGTTTCGCCATGTTGACCAAGATGGTCTCGATCTCTTGACCTCATGATCCACCCGCCTCGGCCTCTCAAAGTGCTGGGATTACAGGCGTGAGACACCGCGCCCAGCCCTTAACTGGGTTTTTAAATTATTGGTAATACTTTGCTAGACAAAAGGGCTGACGAAGTTGGCTGTGAAAGTTGTTTATTTTTGAGATGGAGTCTTCCTCCGTCGCCCAGGCTGGAGTGCAGTGGTGTGATCTTGGCTCACTGCAACCTCCGCCTCCCAGGATCAAGCAATTCTCCTGCCTTAGCCTCCCTAGTAGCTGGGACTACAGGCACATGCCACCACATCCAGCTAATTTTTTATATTTTTAGTAGAGGCGGGGTTTTACCATGTTAGCCAAGATGGTCTCGATCTCCTGACCTTTCGATCCTCCCACCTCGGCCTCCCAAAGCTGTGAAAGTTTAATATGATGACTCTTATACACACCGATACACTGTGTGTATTGGAGTTCCGGATACAAAACGTGCTCAATCAGCGTCTTCCATGAACATTAGTCATGGGGTCTTACTCCGTCGCCCAGGCTGGAGTGCTGTGGCACAATCATAGCTTACTGCAGCCTCCAAATCCCGGGCTCCAGCAATCTTCCCACCACAGCCTCCCAAGTAAGAATGTGCACTTTATTTTATTTATTTATTTATTTCTCAATAGTAGATCCAAAAGGATGTGCACTTGAAAAGGACCACCCTGGCCCGGCGCGGTGGCGCATGCCTGTAGTCTCAGCTACTGGGGAGGCTGAAGTGGGAGGATAGCTTGAGCCCAGGAGTTCTGGGCTGTAGTGCGCTTTGCCCATCGGGTGTCCGCACTAAATTCAGCATCAGTGTGGTGACCTCCTGGGAGCAGGGGACCACTAGGTTGCCTAAGGAGGGGTGAACCGGCCGAGGTCGGACACGGAGCAGGTCAAAACTCCCGAGATCAGTAATGGGATCGTGCCTGTGAATAGCCACTGCACTCCGGCCTGGGCAACATAGCGAGACTCCGTCTCTAAAAAAATAAAAAAAAATAAATCTGAAAAAAAAAAGAGACCACTCTGCTACTTGGAAGTGGGAAAAATAACATCACTCAGTGCAAATGATGAAGGGACTGGGGAACGAGCAAGGGCTGTTGTAGGGAAATTAGAGGGAGGTTGGGACGTAGTTTGCAAAGGACTCTCCTGACAGCCGTCTGGGCAGCAGGAGAAAATGCCTACGAAGCTCGCGGCGCAGGAGCCGGACTGGGGGAAAGGGAGGGTTTCCCTCTGGATGACACGAGGCTTGCTCTCTTGACAGGTAGACTGACCCAGAAACTCAACTTCTGGCGGGCTGAAACAGCAAGGGCTACTCGCTGTTATCAAGGGGCATGTTGGAAACGCCGGCAGGGTCGCGGTCCAGGAAAAGAGGAGGGCGGGACCCCGGCTGGGCCGGGCGAGGGACCTAGGCCCCGCAGCTCCAGCCCGGGCCGGAAGCCGGCATCCCCTACCCTGCGGCGCGCGGCCGCAGCCGCAGCAGGTGGGCGGGCCCGCGAGCCGGGCGGCCCGCTGATTGGCCGCGGCCGGCGCGCCCTCTGACCTCACGCCGACGCTAGAGGCACCCCACTCCCGCCTTCTCCTGCGCACCCCCCAACCAGCGCCGGCCGGCCGGCTCCCACCTGGGCCGCCAGTCCCGCGCTCCTCAAAGCCTGTATCCGCGACCCCCTCCAGTCCCTAAGCTCGGGCCCCTCACCATTTTCGCACTTTCTCGATGGCCGCCATCACCTTCTTGATGTCGTCCTTTGCCCGGCTGCGGGTCTCCGCCCGGACCGACCGGCCCGACATGGCGGCGGCGGGGGCCGGGGCACTGCTCCCAAGACACCGGGGATCGCGCGCCTCACGCGCCACCGCCCGCCCGCCGCCGCCGCAGCGTCACCGCGCGGCCGTCGCCCCCTCCGTGCGCGCGTGCGCGAGGAAGCGCGCGCACCCGCCCGCCCCTTGGGGTTTGCGGCCTCAGCGCGCCTGCGCACCCCGCCCCAGGCGTCCCTCCCGAGCGCCCCGGGAGTTCCCTGGGACCCCTCCTGGACCGGGGTGTGAGGCGGGCCGGGCGCACGTGCTGTGGTCAGGGCGAGGTGCGAGGCGCTGCCGGTGGGCTCCCTGGTTCTTTCCCCTGGGAGTTTGGAGGTTGCCTCCTTCCTGCTCTGGCCAGCATGTTAGGGACCTGACCCTTTGGAATCGCACTCACCCTCCGGCTCTACCGCTGTTCTCCAACCACGCCTTTCTTCAGGATGCCTGCAGGCCTTTGCACACACCTGTTCCTCAGCTAGAATCCTCTCCTGTCTTCACCAGATGAACTGCTTTTCCAACGTTCAAGCCACATTCTTGCCTTTTCTTGGGTATATTGTAGTCCCAAGTATTTGGGAGGCTGAGGCAGGAGGATCAATTGAGCCCAGAAGCTATGGTGTGATCGCACCTGTGAATAGCCACTGCACTCCAGCCTGGGCAACATATGGAGACCCCGTCTCTAAAGTAAATACATAAAAAGATGCCTATTTTGTGCAAGACTCTACCAAAAGCTGAAGACATATGTGGTTTTGGTTTCAAAGAGCTTCCAGTTTGTTTGTTTATTTGAGACGGAGTCTCTCTCTCTCTCCCAAGCTAGAGTGTAGTGGCGCGATCTCGGCTCACCTCCCGGGTTCAAGCAATTCTCTGTCTCAGCCTTCTGAGTAGCTGGGATTATAGGCGCCCACCACAACATCCAGCTAATTTTTCTGTATTTTTAGTAAAGACGGGTTTTCACTATCTTGGTCAGGCTGGTCTTGAACTCCTGACCTTGTGATTCACCCGCCTTGGCCTCCCAAAGTGCTGGGATTACAGATGTGAGCCACTGCGCCCAGCCCAGTTCATTTATGTCGAGATGGGATCTCACTATGTTGTGCATACTGGCCTTGAACTTCTGGTCTCAAGGGATCCTCTCGAAGTGCTGAGATTACAGGCGTGAGCCACCGTGATTGGCTTAGCTTCCAGTTTAGTAGAACATTCAGACAAAAAAACCCAAAAACATTTATTTTTTACTTTTATTTATTTTTTGGTACAGGGCTTTGCTGAAGTGATCGTTCTGCCCCAGCCTTAGCCTCTTGTGTAGCTGAGACTACAGGTGAGTGCCACATTGCCTGGCTTTTTTTTTTTTTTTTCTTTTTTGTAGCAACAGGGTCTTCCTTTGCTACCCAGGCTGGTCTTGAAGTTCTGGACTCAACTGATTCTCCTGCCTTGGCCTCCCACAGTGCTGGGATTACAGATGTGAGTCACTGATCCAGCTTCCCAAAGCATATTTAAAATGCTATTTGATAAATGCTAGCCTAGACTGGGTGAGGTGGCTCACGCCTGTGATCCCAGCACTTTCGGAAGCCAAGGTGGGTGGATCATTTGAGGTCAGGAGTTCAAGACCAGCCTGGCCAACCTGGTGAAACCCTTGTCTTACTAAAAATACAAAATTAGCTACTCAGAAGGTTCAGGCAGGAGAATCGCTTGAACCCAGGCGGTAGAGGTTGCAGTGCGCCAAGATCATACCATTGCACTCCAGCCCGGGCAATAAGAACAGAGCGCTGTCTCAGAAAAATAAATAGGCCAGGCATGATGGCTCACACCTGTAATCCCAGCACTTTGGGAGGCTGAGGCAGGTGGATCACCTGAGGTCAGGAGTTCGAAACTAGCCTGACCAACAGGGAGAAAACCCGTCTCTATCAAAAATATAAAATTGGCCAGGCATGGGAGCACGAGCCTGTAATCCCAGCTACTTGGGAGGCTGAGGCAGGAGAATCTTTTGAACCTGGGAGGCAGAGGTTACGGTGACCCAAGATGGTGCCATTGCACTCCAGCCTGGGCAACAAGAGTGAAACTACATCTCAAAAATAAATAAATAAATACATAAATAAATAAAATGCTATTTAATAAATGCTTGCCTAAGTAGGGTGGGAGAGGGGGGTGTAACGAGCTATGGCTTTTATTCCTAGTCTTCGGTAAAGAAAAAAAAAAGGTGCTATGATAACCCTAATCTTGGAGCTGACCTCTAAAAACAGGGTAGGTCCTGTTAGTCCCAGGCCAGTGTTCACAGACGCTACAGATGCTCATTAAATATTAGTTTGCATGAATGTTGAATTTAGTGCAAGCTCCCTTTTTATTTGCCCCCATCCACTTGGAGGCAGGTATCATCCATGCTTACAGTATGCAGAGAGGGTCCTGTAGCAGCTGTTTCAGGACACAGCTTGGGACAGGAAGCAGGTTGGTAACGGCTGCTCTCACCTGTAGAGAAACTAATTTCCATGTGCCCCAGAGAAATGCCTAGTTAGCCCTGAGCTTGACACAGCCTCTGATTATGAGTCAGCCTTTCATGATCAACCAACATAGGGGGAGCATATGTCATCTTACTGTCGAGGGGGCTAGAAATAGCTTCTGCTTGACTGAGGAGTGCAAAAACGGAACCAGCATGTGGAGTGAAAAGATGATTCTAGAAATAATGGAATCAAAGGTGGCACATCTGTTGTTCAGACCCAGCCGATCCAAAATAACCAAAGACTGCCTGAACACCTGCTCTATGCCCTAGTACTGTGGACACTGCGGGTGATGTGAAGTTGAGTAGGGCACACTCCCTGCCCTTGAGGTGAAGATGAGGAAAGCAGAAGGGCAGAACACCTGTGCCAGCCCTTGAGACTTCTCCAGGTCTGCCCATAAGTCCCCCTGGTCAGGCACACAGCCCATCTGTCACACCCTTGTCCAAATCCTCCCACTTGAAGTTTCTTGTCAGTAGCTTCCCTCCCCTCCACAGCCCAGTGCTCCTCCCAGCTGCACAGGTCCCCTGCATCCATCTCTCCCCCAGCTCACCCAGCCAGTCGCCTTTCTGGGGCAAGGTCTCAGGGACTCCCCCAGTCTTGTTTCCTCCCTACATTTGTCCACCTGGCCCTACATTCCCCACCTCATCTCCCACTGGGGCTCGGTCTGTGTAAGAGAGTGATCAAAGTAGGCACCTCTTACGCTGCCCGAATGCCCTCTGTTGACTCCCTTCCCCGTTCCCCTTTCCCCCTTCCCCCTTCCCTTCCCTTCCTTTCCTTTGATGAAGTTTTGCTCTTGTCCCCCAGCCTGGAGTGTGCAGTGGTGTGATTTCAGCTCATTGCAACCTCTGCCTCCCAGGTGCAAGTGATTCTTCTGCTTCAGCCTCCGGAGTAGCTGGGACTATGGGTACCTGCTACCACGTCTGCCTGATTTTTTTTTTTTTTTGAGGTGGAATCTTGTTCTGTCACCCAGGCTTGAGTGCAGTGGTGTGATCTTGGCTCACTGCAACCTCTGCCTTTTGGGTTCAAGCGATTCTCTTGCCTCAGCCTCCCAAGTAGCTGGGATTATAGGCTAATTTTTTGTATTTTTAGTAGAGATGGAGTTTCACCATGTTGGCAGGCCAGTCTTGAAATTCTGACCTCAAGTGATCCACCCACTTTGGCCTCCCAAAGTGTTGGGATTAAAGGCAGGAGCCACTGCACCTGGCTTGACACCCTTTTGTTAAAAAAAAAATCATACCTTAGCTGGACGAAGAGGATGTGCCTGTATCCCAGCTACTTGAGAGGCAAGGTGGGAGGATTCCTTGAGCCCAGGAGTTTAAGGCTGCAGGAAGCTATAATCACACTACTGCACTTAGCCTAGGCAACACAGTAGGATACCATCTCCTAAAAAATCACATCCTGCCATTTTCTAGGTGAAAAGCTTGTGCTAGATGAGGTGCAGAGGTGGATACAGAGATCCCAGCCCAGATCTCTGCCTTGGGTGATGCATCCAAGGGCTTGGCTTCTTTTCTCACTTTGAGTACAAGCTACAGTGGCCTAGAAGGCCCCATCCATTCCCACACATCATCCTGTTATTTTCTGACCTCACCTCCTACAACTATACCCATGCTGTCTCTGCTCTAAATCCACTGGCCTTCTTGCTCATCTGAAAGCACAGTCCAGCTCCTGCCTCAGGCCTCTGCACTTCGGCCTCCCCTACTGTAGCACCCATGCACCATATATTTGCATGGCTCCCTCCCTTACCTCCTGAAGGTCTTTATTCAAATGTTATCTTCTCAGCCAGGTGTGGTGGCTCACGCCAGTAATCCCAGCACTTTGGGAGGCTGAGGTGGGTGGATCACTTGAGGTCAGGAGTTCGAGACTGGCCTGACCAACATGGTGAAACCCCATCTCACTAAAACTACTAATTAGCTGACAGTGGCCTCTCATGCCTGTAATCCCAGCTACTCGGGAGGCTGAGGCAGGAGAACTGCTTGAACTCGGGAGGTGGAGGTTGCAGTGAGCCAACCTCCTATTAGTTCTGTCCCTCTAGAGAACCCTGACTAATACAACCGCTTAATATCCTATTTTGTTTTTCTGGCCAGGTGCAGTGACCCACTGCAATCCCAGCATTTCGGGAGGCTGAGGGAGTGGATCATTTGAGGTTAGGAGTTCGAGACATGGAGAAACCCCGTCACTACTAAAAATACAAACATTAGCTAGGTGTGGTGGCATGTGCCTGTAATCCCAGCTACTAGGGAGGCTGAGGCAAGAGAATCACTTGAACCTGAGAGATGAAGGCTGCAGTGAGTAGAGACTGTGCCGCTGCACTCCAGCCTGGGAGACAGAGTGCGACTCTGTCTCAAAAAAAAAAAAAAAAAAAAAGCCAGCTGATTAGCAACCTTAATTCCTGCTACTGTAATTCCCTGTTGGCATATAACCCAACAAATTCCTGAGTTCCAAGGATTAGGATGTGGATATCTTTGGGGAATCATTACTCTGTTCCCACATCATAGAATTCTTTCCACAGCAGTGGAAAAACAAAGCATATGGTATAGGTATACACAAATATAAATATATATGCGCGTGCGCACACACACACACACACACACACACATTTAAGAGACTGGGTCTTGCTTTCTTGCCCAGGTTGGAGTGCAGTGGCACATAGGTCACTACAGCCTTGAACTCCTGGGCTCAAGTCACCCACCAACTTCAGCCTTCTGAGTAGCCAGGACCATAGGCACATGCTACCATGCCTGGTAGAGATGGGGGGCCCACTATGTTACCCAGCCTGATCTTGAACTCTTGGCCTCGAGCATCCCTCCCACCTTGGCCTCCCAAAGTGCTAAGATTATAGGAGTCAGCCATCGATGGGATTACAGGCATGAACCACAACGCCCAGCCATTTAGTAGTTTTGATTACCCAGCAAACTGTACAGAATCCTCCGTTTCCAGCTGGCAGAAAAGAGTATGGAAAGCCCCAGGAGGGTTTTTGTCTGTTTTTTTTTTTTGAGACGGAGTCTCGCTCTGCTACCCAAGCTGGAGTGTAGTGGCACGATGTTGGCTCACTGCAATCTCTGCCTCCCATGTTCTGGGTTAAAGGGATTCTGTTGCCTCAGCCTCCCAAGTAGCTGGGACTACAGGCATGAACCTCCACACCCAGGTAATTTTTGTATTTTTGTAGAGACGAGATTTCGCCCTGTTGGCCAGGCTGGTCTCAAACTCCTGACCTCAAGTGATCTGCCCACCTCAGCCTCTCAAAGTGCTGGGATTACAAGCGTGAACCACTGTGGGTTTTAGAGGCAGCCAGAGACTCAACAGATCACTTCTGCGCATATTCCATTAGCCTGAACTCAGCAAAGCGTCTTACCTAACTGCAGGGAAGCCTGGAACATGTAGTCTAGCCTTGTACCTGGGAAAACAAGAAGCAAAATTGGGGAACACTAGCAAGCTTTGCCACTGTGGGCAGGTCCCTCACAGTCCTGGCACTCTCAGTGAAACACACTGAGGTTTTCCTGTGAAAAACACAGGGTTGAGGAAATTGGGGTACAGCACATCAGGAAATTCACTTTTGGCCAGGCCCGGTAGCTCACGCTTGAAAATCCCAGCACTTTGGGAGGCCAAGGCAGGCAGATTGCCTGAGGTCTGAAGTTTGAGATTAGCCTGACCAACAGGATGAAACTCCGTCTCTCCTGAAAATACAAAAATTAGCCGGGCGTGGTGGCATGCCCCTGTAATCGCAGCTACTCGGAGGCTGAGGCAGGAGAATCGCTTGAACCCAGGAGGGAGAAGTCGAGCGAGCTGATATTGCACCATTGCACTCCAGCCTGGACAACAAGAGTGAGACTTCGTCTCAAAAAAAAAAAAAAAAAAAATTCACTTTTGCCCTGGGTTCTTTTGTTTGACTTCTTATTCTAGAGAGATGCCCTAGGTGCTAGATCACAAAAGGCTAACAGTATGCAGGACAGAGGCCATTATTAGGGTGAAATAGAGACCAACAGTCATTACCATCAGTCATCACCTTCAGTATCATCATCAGCTTTATCATTTTTGGGGTTGTTGTTTGGTTCATATTTTTCCTGCCTCGGGGCTCCAAAAGCAACTGAAACATACCTGGGTTGTCAAACCTCCTGGCTGGCTGGGTACGGTGGCTCATGCCTATAATCCCAGCACTTTGGGAAGCCAAGATGGGGTAGATGACTGCAATCTCAACCTCCCAGGCTCATGCGATCCTCACATCTCAGCCTCCTGAGTAGCTGTGCCAGCGTAGGACAGGCTAATTTTTGTATTTTTTGTAGCGATGGGGGTCTCCCTATGTTTCTCAGTCTGGTCTTGAACTCCTGGACTCAAGTGATCCTCCTACCTTACCTCCCAAACTGCTAGGATTACAGCTGTGAGCCACCATGCCAAGCTGGCACTCTTATTTGTATTTTTTAAAGAAATGGAGTATCACTCTGTTGCTTAGGCTGGAGTGCAGTGGCGTGATCATGGCTCACTGCAACCTCCAACTCCTGGACTCAAGTGACCCTCCTGCCTCAGTCTCTCCAGTAGCCCAGCAGCTGGGACTAATGCCCAGCTAATATTAAAATTTTTTGTACAGATGGGTCTCACCATGTTACTCAGGCTGGTTTCAAACTCCTCGTCTCAAGTGATCCTCTCACCTTGGCCTCCCGCAGCACTGGGATTATGAGCATGAGCCACCCTGCACAGCCCACTTTTGGAACTTCGATCATCTCCAGACCTTGGAACCGTTAGTCCCTGGGAGAATCATGCAGAAGCATGTGAATCACAAGATGCAGTGGCCTTGGAAAGTAACAGAATGATTTCTGCTGCCAATGCAACCACGTGGTGCATGCATAAGTGGTGGTCAAAGTGAGCTCATTTGCTGTTGGGCAATCAGTATACAGGTTCATCTTGTTAGCCAGCAAATTGAAGTAGTGGCTACTATGTGCTCACTTGCATGGGTGCAACAGAAAGAAGTACAAGACAGACTCCTAACACTATAAACTCCCTGCCTTCAGAAAGCTTATTTTCTGGCTGGCAAGGTCACAGGCTATAAGGGTGACACTAGGAACAAGCTCGAGCTCTGTCCTCAGACCCAGAGTTGAATCCCTGCTTGCCACTTAATCTCCGCAAACCTCGGTTTTTCCAACAGGGATTATAATTGCTGCTTCACAAGAGCTGTTACAAAGTGAAAGTGAGAGAGTATGTGTCATGGAGGCTATCTAATGCTTTCAATATATCATGTTACCGATTTTTTTTCCTGAGACAGGGTCTTGCTGTGTTGCCTAGGCTGCGATCAGAGCCCACTGCAGCTTTGAACTCCTGGGCTCAAGCAATCCTCCCACCACAGCCTCCAGAGAGGCTGGGTCTACAAGTGTCCATCATCGTGCCTGATTTTTTTTTTTTTTGGTAGAGACGGGGCCTTAGTATGTTGCTCAGGCTGGTCTTGAACTCCTGGCCTCAAGTAATCCCCCTGCCTCAGCCTCCCAAATTGTCAGGATTACTGGTGTGAGCTACCACTCCCATTACCTGTTAATTACCTTCTGGGGTACATGTGTAGGATGCGCATGTTTGTTCCATAGGTAAATGTGTGCCATGGTGGTTTGTTGCATCTATCAACCCGTTACCTAGGTATTAAGCCCAGCATGCATTAGCTATTACTCCTGATGCTCTTCTCCTCCCACCCCCACAAGCCTCAGTGTGTGTTGCCCCCTTCTCTGTGTCCATGTGTTCTCATTGTTCAGCTCCCACTGATGAGAACACGTGGTATTTGGTTGTCTATCCCTGTGTTAGTTTGCTGAGGATAATGGCCTCCAGCTCCATCCATGTCCCGGCAAAGAACATGATCTTGTTCATTTTTATGGCTGCATAATATTCCATGGTGTAATCTACCACATTTTCTTTATCCAGTCTATCACTGATGCACATTTGGGTTGATTCCATGTGTTTGCTATTCTGAATGGTGCTGCACTGAGCATTACATAGGAATTGCACATTCATTGTAGAAAACACAGAAACAAAACTTTTTGTGCCTTTCCCAAGATGTTAGTCTCTGAAACGTGGCTTTACTAGAATAGCTATAATTGTGAAAACATGCCTGTATACAAGGCATTATCCAGGGCTTCAAGTTATCACAGATAAGCAAATTAAAGAGCTGGTTTCTCCGATGCGCCCGTGTGTTGGATGCAGGTGGCAGAAGACCCACCTGCATCCAACCCCCAGGAAAGTAGCCAGGAGGGTGGATTGCGCTGAGGAAGAAAGAGCCCTTGGGAAGTGGCACTGTTGAGTTGGCACCACCATCTTAATCTGTGTATTGCATGTTTTAAATGACTGCAAGCCCCAGCCTGGGCAACATAGTGAGATCCCATTTCTAGAAAAAACAGAGGTGTGATGGCATGTGCCTGTGATCCTGGCTACTCGGGAGGCTGAGGTGAGAGGATCACTTGAGCCCAGGAGGTCAAGGCTGCACCCCAGTCTGGATGACGGAGTGAGACCTCATCTCTAAAACAAAGAAAACACCAACATGGGCTACACACCACATTTAAAATATTTCCCCAACTTTTTATTTTGAAAAATTTCATACCCACAGATGTTGAAATCTTAAGATATGAATACTGCCTTCACATGCAGGATTTTTGACTAAAAAAAAAAAAAAAAAACCAATGGTGGCCTCTGTTCTATGTTAATATCCAGACACCTGCCCTGTGGTTTCCAGAGAAGCTTGAGTGAGGGCACTTTCTGTCCTCAGAAAGTCTGTGGAGTGACTTTTTGGTAGTGTTTTATCTCACTGGAAATGCAATGCGGTAAGGAGGGCAGGACAGGATTCATTCTCATCTTACAAAGGAGGAAACGAGCTCAGAGGGGCCGGGATGTACCTGCTCTCAGGCCACCGGATGAGCCGGCTGAACCTGCAACTGAAGACTTCGGTAACTCAGCGCTCTCCACCACTTCCCGTCCTGGGTGTACAACGGGGGTAAGGCCAGAGCTCCTTTTAAAAACAGGCGCAGAGGAAAGTGTTTCCGTCTCACCCTTCTGACAACTGCAGAGGAAATACTCCGCAGGCCTTACGTGCACAGTGGCAGCGGTCTGTCATTAGGATCATGCGAAACCACAACGGAGACTGGCAGTGGGAAGATACGTGGAGATCCTGGGAGGTCTGTGGCTTGCCCCTGGCTTAAGCTGAACATTTACTGAGTGCTTACACTGTCCCTGGTACTGTGCCTGGATCGCAGAGCTGACAGCAAGGCGGTCCAGGAGTCTGCCCTGGTGGTGCTCTCATTTCAGTGCACTCATCAGAGCCAGAAGCTGCAATGAGAGACTGGTGGACTGCAACGGGCCCACGCAGTGTTTTGTTTGGTCCAGATAGTGTTTGTTTTATTTAATTTTTTGTTTAAGTTGCTCACTTCTAGCTTCTGTGAAGCAGACAACTTCTGCCGGATTCCTGAATGAGTAGCAGCCTCCCCTACCTCACGGGCAGGACACAAGCCCTCCAGCTCACTTCCGTCCCCACTCTCTCCTGCCTCACACCCAGGTGACTGTGGCCCCACTCACGCATTTACGGTACCCAGCTGACGTCCATAGCATTTAGGCCAAAACCCCTGTAGCAAACAAATAGCCAAACAAGAGAATTTTAGAGAGCATTAATATAAAAAAAAGAAATTCAGCTAATGTGATGGATGTGATAGGATTGATGGAAAGGGCTACTTCAGAATGAGTGGTCAGGGAGCCTATCTCTGCACTGTAACTGGAACCAAGAACTGAATTCTGACAAGCATGGTAAGTCTGCCAACGGAATAAAGCACTTCCAAGGGGCTGGCCTAAGCACCAGCCCTACCTGAGGATGGAGTAACTCTGCTTGCTCAAGGAACAGCAAGGTTGGGACAGCAGTAAAAAGGTCTGGGAGTGGGGACGAAGGCAGGTTACACAGGACCTTGCAGGCTAAGGTAAGAATTTGGGATTAAAAACATGTTTTCAGTGGGACGTGATGGCTCATGCCTGTAATCCCAGAACTTTGGGAGGCCAAGGTGGGCAGATCTCTTGGGGTCAGGAGTTCAAGACCAGTCTGGCCAACATGGTGAAACCCCATCTCCACTAAAAATACAAAAATTAGCCAGGCATGGTAGCATATGTCTGTAATCCCAGCTACACTGGAAGCTGAGGCAGGAGAATTGCTTCAGCCTTGGAGGTGGAAGTTGCAGTGAGCTGAGACTGCACCACTGTACTCCAACCTGGGGAGCAGAGTGAGACTGTCTCAAATATATATATATATATTTTACTATTTTTGGTTAAAAAATCTTTTGGATTTTAAGTGTGATGGGAAGCCTTGGGGGTTTTAACTAGAGAATAATGTGATCTGATTTACATTTTCAAAAGATCACTCTGCTATATAGAAAAGTAATGAAGCAACAGAGGAAGCAGGAAGATCCATTAGGAAGCCATATTTTAGTGGCCCAGTAGGTGACAGTGGACAGGACCAGGATGGGAACAGGAAAGACAGAGAGAAGCAGCAGACTCGGGCCGTCACGTGGAGTGTAACCAAAAGAACGTTCTGGTGAACAGACAGAGGGGATAATGAATGGGGGTCATCAAGGATAACTCCAAGGTTGTGGCTTGTTCCACTGACAGGCTGGGGGCGACTGGGCAGGTCACAGTTTTCGTGAGCGATCAAGAGTTTGACCAGGGATGAATACATTTTCCCTACACTCAAGTCTTCCTGGATACCTCATTTCCCCTACCTGCCACCTCCAAGCAGTCTTCAAATTCAAAAAATTTAAACTTCTCAATATCGAATCTCTTATCAAATGTACCCCTTCAACTTCAGTGCCCATTGCCTCTGTCCTGCTCTGGTCCTCTCTTGCCGTGGCGTTTACAACAGCAGCTGAGTTAACTCACAGAAAGCACTCAGTGCATGTGTCTGTCTCTCTCCCACCAGCCATCTTAGGTGGCAGAAACCACGTCTTATTCACATTTAATCCCCAGGACATATTTATTTGGGCACAGAGTGGGCCCTCAAACATCTGATGGACTGAAAAGAGGTCTCCTGACAGGATATCATCTCCCAAAGAGATGAGCCCCAACCATACAAAATGCATGATCAAGTCCCAGGAAACTCTGCCTTCCCGAGGAGTGTGTGTCAAATTTGGTTTCAAAGCACACCGGTTCCCATTTTTGCCACGTTAATGACAGTGGACGTAGTATGACTCTTTCCCACTCTTCTAGACCTAGCGACTTTACACTCTCTAAACCCCAATCATCTTTGCAAGCAGGTCACAGACAGGATTATTCTCCATCTTACAGACAGAACTGAGGCCCGGAATGAAATCCCTTAGTGTCTTTTTGATGGAGTTAGGAGCCTTGACTCAGTGGAGATCAGCCTTCCCCGACCCCACAGCAGGTCTGTGACAGGAAGCTATCCCAGTCTCCCATCCTTGCAAAACTGCTGCTTAGTACTGGGTGTTCTCTGGGTTGTTCTGAAACATTTACAAACTTCTTTGGGGGTGAGGAAGTGCTGCCACAAAGCCAAAAATCATGTTCTCTCTCTCTCTCCTCTACCACTGTCCTCCGCACAGGGTGGGGATGGATTCTACCCACTGGGCCTGAGAGGAAGAAAAGCACCTTGGTCACTGGTTGGGGAGGAGTCAAAGCCAGCAAGAAAAGAGAGAAAGATCTAAGTAAGCAAGAGAAGTTTCAACAGGAAAAAGGCCACCAGTAGGAAAACCAGGAGACCCCTTCCAAAAGGCTTCCACCTGGGAAGAAAGGTGGCGGCATCGCTGGGAGCAGGCGGCCAGATCCCTCCTGCTCAATCCTCTGCACCAGGCCCTCCCCATCACTTCTTGAGGGCACCCAGGCTCTTCAGGGCCTCTTGGGCCTGGGTCAGCTGCTGCTGCAGCCTCTGGCGGGTGCTGTCATTGGAGGCCCGCTTCAGGAGGCCCTGCATCTCCTCCACCACGGCCCGGTGGCCAGGCGTGTTGTGAAAGAGCCGCACCGCCCGGTCCCCACAGGAGGCCAGAAAGCGGCCAGTGATGTCAAAGGCCAAGTCAGCGATACACTCGCCATGGGCCCGCTCAAAGCACTCCTCCTTCTCGCCCCGCCGGGTATTGTAGAGATGAATACTGCTGCCACTGGCCAAGGCCAAGACCTGGGCATCAGGGGAGAGGGCCAGGCGGCACAGTGCGGCGCCCGCCGCCTCTTCAAAGCGGCCTGTCCTCAGTAAGTAGGGGTCCTGCTGCTTCTTGTATTCCACATCTGTATCCCACAGTTTCCATGTACCATCCTTGGAGACAGAGGCCATCCTGCGGCACGGAAAACCACAGCTCAAGCCCCAACACACCCTGGCAGGGTGAGCACTGGCTCAACTAGAGTGGCTGCAGCTAGGAAGCTAAGTCTGCTTCCTGCTGAGGGCCAGGCACCCCGCCTGCTTCAGAGCCACGGCACAGACAGGCAGAAGGACCCTGGTTGTCAGGGGCCAAGAGCCACAGGTCAGACTTCAGAGCGGCCTTACTCACCTCCGCGAGTCGTTGGAGAAGGCAAACGAGTGCACAGCCGCGGAGTGGCCCTTTAGTTCAAAGGCTCGCACCACCTCCTGGAACTCCCCCTTCTTTCCAAAGCAGACTTCCCAGACCTTCACATCCGGAGTGAAGCCACACGAGGCCACAAATCTACCAAACAACCAGGAGGCCTTTAGGACTTCACTTTGGGAGCATCTTCTTCCTGTAAACCCCTGAATCTCTTTCCTGAGAAAGCTGGTATCTCATATCTGCATAATATAAACCTTTAAAAAGTTCTTTTATGTATGTGACCTCAGTTTATCCTCTAGCCTTATTCTAAGATATGTAATACCCCACCCTAACCTTTTAAAAACTATAGATGGCTTGGTGCAGTGGCTCATGCCTGTAATTCTAACACTTTGGGAGGCTGAAGCAAGAGGATCGCTTGAGGCCAGGAGTTCGGGACCAGCCTGGGCAACACAGTGAGACCCCATCTCGACAAAAAATACATTAGCCAGGTGTGTAGTGTGTGCCTGTGGTCCCAGCTACTTGGGAGGCTGAGGTGGGAGGATGGCCTGAGCCCAAGTGTGCTCTTCCCACATGATAAAGCTGGCTCTCTGTTCTGTGCCTGCTCCCAAGGCCCAGCCTCTTGTGGTCCCAGATGCCAATGCCCCTCCTTGCCCACCTGCCACAGGGGGATACAGCAGCATGTGTGTTGTTCATCTGGTTGGTGTTGATGGTAGATAGCACCTGACCCTTCAGGCTCCAGATGAGGACAGTGGTGTCACTGGAGGCAGTCATGATGAACTTCCCTGAGAGGGAGGGGAATGATGTGGGCCACGGGCAGTCACCCGACCAGCTGTCATTCTCCAAAGACACTTATGAGGCCTCTGTTGCCGAAGTATATGTGTCCCCTCCCAGGCCAATGGTCGCCACAGATGAGTACTCTGCTGAAGACTGTGGCCCTTCCCCACCTTCCCTAGGGACCTGGTGTGACCCAGGGACTCCAGGGGAGCACAGAGCCAGGTTTTTCAGAGCCAGGCCCCTTTTGTCCTGCCGCGGTTGAGCAGAACTCTCAGGAAGCATTAACTCATTGAGGAAATAGAACTGGATCTTTCCTTCATGTTGTGGGCAGGTGCCGCCCTCTGAATGCCTCTTACCTGTGTCAGCAATGCCAATGTCAATGACAGGTGCCTTGTGCTTTTTAGGGAAGTCCTCTGGGGTGGCTGTGAAGGTGTAGCCCCCATCTTCCCGCTTGGTCATCTTGAAGACACGGAGGGTGTCCCCGTTGGCCAGCCAGACAATGAAGGCTCTAGAGACAGGTAGCAGACAAGTCACTCTCTCACTGGACAAAGAGGCTCTGTGTTCCAGGTCCTGTGCTGGGTTCTGGGGGAAGTCAGTATCTCCCCTCAGGCCCCATAGTCTAGCCTTACAGCTTAAACCCCCAGTTCAAAATCTCATAAAACTACTCAAAGGGAAAGATTCCCATAGCTTTGACTCCTGTAGTTTCTCTCTAGGGTTTAGAAGCCAAGGCTCATCTGGAAGCCAGGCCACGGTATTTCCGGGTAGGAAGAGACCTCCCCATTTCCTTGCTGTGTAGCAGTACAGGGAGCCCCAGGTAGCACTCCAACTATGTGGATGCTCTTTCTGGTACCCCAGTGGAGCCCCTGGATCTGGGTTCCTCCTCCCTCGCTACCTCAAAGCAGATATGGGAGGGCCAAAGCCGGGGGCTGGGCCTCTGCAGGCAAACCTTAGGCTCCGCCCTGTCCCACCTGCAGTCAGGGCTGAAGCGCACCAGGGTGGCGTGGTCCAGCTCCACATTGGCTCTCATGCTGCGGTGCTCCCGCTGTAGGAAGTCCTTGGTGCTCCAGATGCGGACGGTGCGATCATCTGCACAGGTGGCCAGGTATTTGCCATTGCTGCTAAAGTCCATGCAAGATATGTTCCCGCTGTGGCTCTGGGGGAAGGGTGGCAGGAAGTGTGAATGGGAGCTCCTTGGGGAGATGGGGACTCCAAACCTGGAGCCGTGACTCTGGGGCCCTGTTGCCTGGATGAACAGTAAGCTGAAGTGGGGCTGCGGGGAGAGGGGACAGAATTGGGCATCCCCACCGATTCTGATCAGAGGCAGAGGGTTCTGTAACATGCATCGAACACAACAGAGGAAGAGCCTGTGGCGCTGAGTCTCGAGACGCATGCTGTGCTGGGCACCGCACGTACCTTCAGCGCTGCAGCCAGGAGGCGGTGGGTGAAGTTGTGTTGTTGAGGCTTCTCCTTGCGAATCCGCTGTTGCTGTTTCTGCTTTTTGGATCCTGAGGATTTGTCGGATGGAAATCCATTTGCTTTTTGGCCTATAAGGAAGGGCCATGTCATTCATACAGTCACTCACTGATAAGCACTTACTGCCCACCTGTGATTAGCCAAGCACTGAGCAGAACAGCAGATGAACCAGACATGGCCCTCGTCTTCAGAGAAGAGTGAGTGTGATATGGGCAAAAACAGAGGCTTTGGCTGGCCGGGTACGGTGGCTCATGCCTGTAATCCCAACACTTTGGGAGGCTGAGGCAGGAGGATCACGGAGCCCAGGAGTTTGAGGCTACAGTGAGCTATGATCACAACACTACTGCACTCCAGCCTGAATGACAGAACGAGACCCAGTCTCAAAAACAAACAGAAAACAGAAACGAAACAGAGGCTTTGGTATCAGACCTGGGTTTGGATCCTGTCTCCTCTACCACTGACTGACTGAGGAGGCTGTAAGTCCACAGAGCACCTCCATGTTAAGTGGAAAAGGCGCACTCTGAGTGGGGTGGTGCTGCTGAGGGGCACACAGCACGGCCAGTGGGGTGGTGCTGCTGAGGGGCATACAGCACAGCCAGTGGGGTGTGGATCCTTGGCCAGATATCCCTACATAGGGAGTAATGTGCACAATTGATCTGGGGGCCCTGCTTTGGGTCAGTGAATTGCTCTGGACTTTTTTTTTTTCCATTTCTTTCTTTCAGTCTTTTTTTTGGGGAGGAGACAGAGTCTTCTATGTCACCCAGGCTGGAGTGCCATGGGGTCATCTCCACTCACTGCAACCTCGGCCTCCTGGGTTCAATCAATTCTTGTGCCTCAGCCTCCCAAGGAGCTGGGATTACAGGTGTGTACCACCATGCCTGGCTAAATTTTTTATTTTTTGGGACGGGAGTCTTGCCCTGTCACCCAGGCTGGAGTGCAATGGCGTGATGTTGGCTCACTGCAACCTCCCCTTCTCAGGTTCAAACGATTCTCCTGCCTCAGCCTCCCGAGTAGCTGAGATTACAGGCATGCATCACCATGCCCGGCTAACTTTTTGTATTTTTAGTAGAGATGGGGTTTCACCATGTTGGTCAGGCTGATCTGGAACTCCTGACCTTGTGACCCACCTGTCTCAGTCTCCCAAAGTGCTGGATTATAGGCATGAGCCTGGCCGTTTTTTTTTTTTTTTTTTTTTTTTAAAGTAGAGATGTGGTTTCACCATGTTGGCCAGGCTGGTCTCCAACTCCTGACCTCAAGGGATCCACCCACCAAAGTGCTGGGATTATAGATATGAGCCACAGTGCCTAGCCTGACCTTGTTTTTCTTAAAGAAAGGTTGAGAACCAGGCATGGTGGCTCATGCCTGTGATCCCAGCACTTTGGGAGGCTGAGGAGGGAGGACTGCTTAAGCTCCGGAGTTCAAGACCAGCCTGGGTAATGTAGTGAAACCCTGTCTCTACAGAAAACTTTTTAAATTAGCTGGGCATGGAGGCATGGGCCTGTGGTCCCAGCTATTCGGGGGGCTGAGGAGGGAAAATTACTTGAGTCCAGGAGTTCGACTGCAGTGAGCTGTGATTGTGCCACTGCACTCGAGCCTGGGTGACAGAGCAAGATTCTGTCTCAAAAAAAAAAAAAAAAAAAAATAATAATAATAATAAGGGAGATTGAGTTGGATGAAATATCTACAAAGTGAAAAGCAAAAGTACCAAACACAAGCATTAAAGGCTCTACGGAGACCCGGTGCATTGGGTCCGATTGTAATCCCAGGAATCTGGGAGGCTGAGACAGGCGGATCATCTTCAGGTCAGGAGTTTGAGACCAGCCTGGCCAACATGGGGAAACTGTCTCTATTAAAAGTACAAAGATTAGCTGGGCGTGGTGGCAGGTACCTGTAATCCCAGCTACTTGGGAGGCTGAGGCGGGAGAATTGCTTGAATTCTCCACCAGGAGGTAGAGGCTGCAGTGAGCTGAGATCACACCACTATACTCCAGTACCTGAATCAGGAACTCAGGGATGAGAGGTCAACATGTGTTCAGCCCTGTGCTGGGGAGTGGAGCCAGCACTTTTGCACAAGATACTTAATGGAGTCACAAAGCTGCCATATGTTAAGTGACTGCAGATGCTCCCCAATTCCAACAGGAAAAAAGCTCATGAGCCCTGCACACAACCAGAGCCACACAGAGCCACAAACAGAACCACACAAACAGAGCCTCAAACAAACACACAGAGCCACACAGAGCCACACAAACAGAGCCACACAAACAGAGCCACACAAACAGAACCACACAGAGCCACACAAACAGAGCCACACAAACAGAGCCACACAAACAGAACCACACAGAGCCACACAAACAGAGCTACACAAACAGAGCCACAATCTGTCTTCTGCTTCCTTCTCTCCAGGTTTATCTAACAAGCCCCCTCCTTACACTTAAGTCATACCAAATGCTGTCTGGGGACTCCTTGCCTTCCTGGGTATTGCCATTGGCAGGAATGTCTTTTTTCCTTGGCTGTCTGGCAAATTCTTCTTCTAGAACCATCCTTTGAGACCCCACACTACCTCATGTATCCCTTCTCAGTAATGATTTCCCTAACCACCACCTCCCCCATCAAAGAGCAAGGCTGACCACTCTCCTCTCTGGTGTTTCCCGTTTCTAGTACTAACCTCTTCTATGAAACTTTTTTCAGAGACAGGCTCTCACTCTGTCACCCAGGCTGGAGTGCGGTGGCACGATCGATCACAGCTCACTCCAGCCCTGAACTCCTGGACTCACGCCCTCCTCCTGCCTCGGCCTCCTATGTAGCTGGGATCACACGCTGATAATTTTTCGTAGAGATGGGGTCTTGCTATGTTGCCCAGGCTGGTCTCAAGCTCCTGGCCTCCCAGAGTGCCGGGATTACAGGCACGTGCCACCGCGCCTTGCCTCAATGAAACGTATTTCACCGTGTTTTTCGCTTATATATTTGGGTGGTCATGGTCATAATCCAGATGTTCTTCTCCTTTACTGGACCCCTTGCAGAAAAAGAACCCAAAACCTATCACAGGGTTCCAGACGCCCAGCAAAAGCTGCTGCACATCGCAAAACGGGTGCTTTTTTCTGAGATCGCGGCCACGGAGCAGGATGAAGAGTTTACGGTGCTCTCCCGGCCACCCCGGGGACGGCCTGGCCTCGGCCACCAAGAAAGCCGAAGCGCGGAGCCCAGGTTCGAGCCAGTTTCGCCCCAGGGGGTGCACCCAGCCCGGCCTGGCGTGGCGAGCCCCCGTCCCTGGAAGCGAAGCTCATTTCGCCAGAGGAGAAACTGAGGCCCAGCGAGTCGCCGGGCCCCACCAGCCGCTGGCCCAAGCCGCAGGTCGGACCACGAGGAGGCCAGGAGCCGGGACCCCCACGGGCCACCCCCAACCGCCCCGGCCCCACTTACAGGCGGGCCGGCCGCTCCTCTCCTCCGCGCGCAGCCACCCCCGCGCTACCGCCGCAGTCGCCACCAGGGCCAGCAGCCCAAGCAACAGCGACAGCCCCAGGAATTCTGGCATCTGCGAGAACTCCATGTTGGCGGAGTCGCTGCCACCTCAACCAGTGACTACGCGGGCGCCCGCACGGCTCGGCGGGGCCGCGTACGCACGTGAGGGCGGGGCCTGGCCGTTGGGACGCCTCAAGCGGCGGCGCCTGGCAGAGCGCGGGGAAGCGGAGCCCGGTTGTTACAGCGCCTTGAGGGAGGGGCCAGGCCGCTAGAGCCTCTCAAGGGGCGGGACCCGGCTGTGACAGCTCCTCGAGGGGCGGGGCTTGGTGTTAGAGCGCCTTGAGGGGCGGAACCTGGGTGTTAGAGCGCCTTGAGGGCGGGCCCTGGCCGTTAGAACGTCTCCAGGGGCGGGGCCTAGAGTTAGAGCCTCTCGAGGGGCGGAGCCTGGTTATTAGAGCCCCTCGAGGGGCGGAGCCTGGTTATTAGAGCCCCTCGAGGGGCGGAGCCTGGTTATTAGAGCCCCTAGAGGGGCGGAGCCTGGTTATTAGAGCACCTCGAGGGGCGGGGCTGGGTGGTTAGGGAGCCTCGAGGGGCGGGGCTGGGTTGTTAGAGCGTCTTGAAAGGCAGAACCCGGCGGTAGAGCGCCTGGAGGGGCGGGTGGCTTGGCGGCTGGGATTGCGTCGCGGTGGAGGGAGGAGGAAGGTGGGATTCGCAGCCCTTGTTCACTCCTCCTCTTGAAGAGCTCACAGATAATGTTACTCAAAGGCGTTATTCCAGCGATCACCACACTGGATCCTTTCAAGGAAGAGGGGCAGGGATTATGATTCCCGTTGAACGGTTAGGAAGCATCAGCGGAAATTCAGATGGGCTTTTACTTTTCACTGCTGGTGGAGAAGGGGAAGAGTGGGCCGGGCGCGGGGTGTGGAACAGCCTCCGCAAAGACCTGAGCAGCTGGAATGTGGGAAGTGGCTAAAAGGTCTGCGGAAAGTTGAGCTCTGGCTCCACCCAACAAGCTGCTCGTTACAGGGCGGGGCGGGGCAAAAGCGGTGGCGGAGAATTCAGACCTTTGGATGGACCTTTGTGTGAAAAGACCAAAGACGGAAAACCAGCGGTGGCTGTAAGGACACGAGAGGGAGGTGACGAGGGCCTGGATTTGGGGATGGCCTGGCAAGTGGAAAAATTGAAAGCGAGAATTTTTAATTAAAAAAAAAAACTTCTCCTGTTTATTTATTTATTATTTACTTTTGAGACGGAGCCTCACTCTCTTGCCCAGGCTGGACTGCAGTGGCGCGTCCCGGCTCACCGCAATCTCCGCCTCTCGGGTATAAGTGATTCTCCTGCTTCAGCCTCCAGAGTAGCTGGGATTACAAACGTGCACCACCACACCCAGCTATTTTTTGTATTATTATTATTTTTTTTTTTGAGGCGGAGTTTCGCTCTTGTTACCCAGGCTGGAGTGCAATGGCGTGATCTCGGCTCACCGCAACCTCCGCCTCCTGGGTTCACGCAATTCTCCTGCCTCAGCCTCCCGAGTAGCTGGGATTACAGGCTCGCGCCACCATGCCCAGCTAATTTTTGTATTTTTAGTAGAGATGGGGTTTCACCATGTTGACCAGGATGGTCTCGACCTCTTGACCTCGTGATCCACCCGCCTCGGCCTCCCAAAGTGCTGGGATTACAGGCTTGAGCCACCGCGCCCGGCCTAGTTTTTGTATTTTTTATAGAGATGGAGTCTTGCCGTGTTTAGTCCAGGAGCTTCAGACCAGCCTGCTCAACATAGTGAAACGCTGTCTAATAATAAAACAAAAAGGCTGGGCTTAGTGGTTCACACCTGTAATCCCAGCACTTTGGGAAGCCAAGGTAGATGGATCACCTGAGGCCAGGAGTTCGAGACCAGCCGGGCCAACATGGTGAAACCCATCTGTACTGAAAGTACAAAAATTAGCCGGGCATGTTGGTGCATGACATGCTCTGTGGCGACAGAGTGAGATTCCATCTCAAGAAAAAGAAAAAAATACAAAAAATTAGCCAGACATGGTGACACATACCTATAGTCTCAGCTACCTGGCAGGCTGAGGTGGCCAAATCACCTGAGTCTAAGGCTGCAGTGAGCAGTGATCGTGCCATCGCACTCCAGCCTAAGCAACAAAGTGAGACCCTGTCTCAAAAACACAGTCGGGGCGTGGTGGCTCACATCTGTAATCCCAGCACTTTGGGAGGCCGAGGCAGGCAGATCATGAGGTCAGGAGATTGAGACCATCCTGGCCAACATGGTGAAACCCTGTATCTATCTAAATACAAAAAAAAATTGGCTGGGAGTGGTAGCATGTGCCTGTAGTCCCAGCTACTCAGGAGGTTAAGGGAAAAGAATCACTTCAACCTGGGAGGCAGAGATTACAGTGAACTGAGATTGAGCCACTGCACTCCAGCCTGGTGACACAGCAAGACTTCATCTAAAAAAAAAAAAAAATATATATATATATATATATATATATATATATATATAGATCCACCGGGGTTTGAAAAAGTGAGCAAGGAGGTCCCATGGACTCTTCCTCTCAGATTCCCCCAATAGTAACATCTTGCATAACTACAGTGCAATATCAAAACCAGGAACTTGGCATTGATGCCATCTACAGAACTTATTCAGATTCCACCGACAAGGAGACACTCTGAAAGACTTATTGGTAGAATTTGGATTGAACAGGCATGCTCCACAGGTGTCCCATCCCGAAGCCCAGAGCGAATTGAAGTACGAGGGTTGGAGATTCCAGTTGCAAATGTTTCCATCCACAGCCGGGAGGCTGCCTTCCTGACAGTCCAGGCCCTCCAGCAATTAGAAGGACCCTCTGAGAAGAGCAGCTGCTGCAGAGGCTGGATGACAGACAGACACACCCGCAATCTTGGGGGAGGAAACAGATACAGTCGGAGAGCAAATGGAGCGGCCCCATTTCCTTCCCTTTTGTGCTTTGCGGGAAACTGGCATTGACTCAGCTGTGGGCAGTGGGGTAGGGAGGGGTGCAGGGGGTGTCTAGAGCATCCTGAGGCTTTTCCTCCCTATATTGCTACTTAGAATTGTGGGCCCAGCCATAAACCACTTTCTCTACCATCTAGAGACAAAACTACACTTTTAAAATTTATTTATTTATTTTGAGACAGAGTCTCACTGTGTCACCCATGCTGGAATGCAATGGCATGATCTCAGTTCACTGCAACTTCTACCTCCCGGGCTGATATGATCCTTTTGTCTCAATCATCCTACAGTCTCAGCATCCCAAGTTGCTGGGACTACAGGCTTGTCCCACCACACCCAGCTAATTGTGTGTGTGTGTGTGTATTTTATAGAGACAAGGTTTACAAGGATTCCATCATGTTGCTGAGGCTGGTCTCCAACTCTAATCTCAAATACTCCTCCCGCCTCGACCTCCCAAAGTGCTGGGATTGATTACAGGTGTGAGCCACGAAGCCTGGCCAAAGATGTACTTTTTCTTTTCTTTCTGAGATGGAGTCTTGCTCTGTCACCCACGCTGCAGTGCAGTGGTGCCATCTTGGCTTAACTGCATCCTTTGCCACCTGCGTTCAAGCGATTCTCCTGCCTCAACCTCCCTAGTAGCGGGGATTACAGGCACCTGCCACTGTGCCTGGCCATTATTTTTGTATTTTTAGTAGAGATGGGGTTTCACCATCTTGGTCAGGCTGCTCTTGAACTCCTGACTTCCTAATCCACCTGCCTCGGCCTCCCTAAGTGCTGGGATTACAGGTGTGAGCCATCATTCCCAGCCAAAGATGCACTTTTAAGAGGAATTTCATTTACCAAGCATTTTGCATGTGACATTTATTGATCCAGGAGCATTTTTTCTTTGAGACACAGTTTCACTCTTGTTGCCCAGGCTGGAGTGCAATGGCACAATCTCAGCTCACTGCAACCTCTGCCTCCCAGGTTCAAGTGTTTCTCCTCCCTCAGGCCCCTGAGTAGCTGGGACTACAGGCGTGCACCACCACGCCTGGCTAATTTCGTATTTTTAGTAGAGACAGTGTTTCTCCATGTTGGTCAGGCTGGTCTTGAACTCCCGACCTTAAATGATCTGCAGGCCTTGGCCTCCCAAAGTGCTGGGATGAGGATATTGTTGCTCTTGGAAGTTAAGTGACTTTCCCAAGGTCACACAGGTGGAGAGTGAGCCTGGGGACAAATACATGTCCTGTCTGGCCGCAATCTGTGGATGTGGGCAAGAAGAAGGGAGAGTAGCCTCTCTTTGTACAGCTCAGTTGAGGCTACCAAGTTCTTTCACATCCTTGAACTCAATTGGCCTTTAAGACAGGTCATGTTATAACTTTAATTTTTTTTTTTTAGACAGAGTCTCCCTCTGTTGCCCGGGACGGAGTGCAGTGGTGTGATCTCAACTTGCTGCAGCCTCCGCCTCCCAGGTTCAAGCAATTCTCTTGCCTCAGCCTCCCAAGTAGCTTGGACTACAGGCATGTGCCACCATGCCCGGCTAATTTTTCATATTTTTAGTAGAAATGGGGTTTCACCATGTTAGTCAGGATGGTCTTGATCTCCTGACCTTGTGATCTGCCTGCATCGGCCTCCCAAAGTGCTGACATTACAGGCATGAGCCACTGCACCCGACTTATAAACTTTTATTTTTAACCAGATGGAGAGAAACACCAGACTCACATAAAATAATTTGCCCAAGGTCAATAAGGAAGCAAGGGAAATAACCCAGAGTCAAAGCCAGGATCCATATTCAGGCGAGGCACTGTGACTCATGCCTATAATCCCAGCGCTTTGGGAGGCCAAGGCAGGAGAAACACTTGAGACCAGGAATTTGAGACCAGCCTGGGCAACAGTGAGACCTCATGTCTAAAAATAATAATTAAAAAAATTAGGTGTGGTGGTGCACACCCGTAGTCCCAGCTACTCAGGAGGCTGAGGTAGGAAGATTGCTTGAGCCCAGGAGTTTGAAGCTGCAGTGAGCCGTGATTGTGCCACTGCACTCCAGCCTGTGGCACAGAGCGAGACCCTGTATCAAATAAAGAAAAAAAAAATCCATGCTCCTCCCAGCAAGCCACTCTGGCTGTGCTGTGGCCTTGCTCTTACTCTTAGGTTTTATCTACCCCAGTTGGAAGGTAAGATGGATATATGGAAGGACAACTGACGACCCACAGTGGGACTCAGGAAAGCTGAGTGGATCAGGAAGCGGGAACTTGCCAATGGCTCTTGAGGGGCAGTGAGAGTGGCTGTAGCTTCAGGGGTGGGCATTTAGACAGGTGAAGCAGAGAGCACAAGGGGGTGCTAGATGGGAAGTGAGAACCAGCTAAGGTACAGAGGTAGAAGTACCTGATTCTGGCCAGGTACG